AGATTGCACCCTTCATTTTGAGGAGACACGAAAACCCTAAAATCCTGCACCTCTTACAGTCTTACAAGATTTTCTGGTATTGCTGAATCAAGAAAAAACTGAAAAACAGTGCACAGTATAGTCCTCTCTCTCATCTCCCATCAGTCTAATCACACTAACTCAACCATTATCACTTACCCTTTTAACTTTAGAATTCCCCTCATCTCAGGCCTTTATCATTTTTTTGTGCGAAAATGGAAATTTCTTGATATATCAATCAAGAATCGGATGATGATCTCTATCTGAAAACTGGCTCATCAAAGACCTAAGTGATTATATAAATCGATGGTTTTATAATATCCTTGATTTTAAGTGCAACTTGTCTCTTTGCCTTCTTTTTCTGTCCTTGTTCAATTTTCATATGAACCTGAAACCCTAGAATTTTAAGCTGGTGTAGCAATCTAAGATCAAGAAATAGTATGTGAACCTGTAAAACATAGAATTAAATCACTGTTTATCATAGCTAGTCTTAATACTTTGTTATTTTAAAAGATATAAACGTGTTAAAGATACAGAACTTCCATAATATTCTCTCCGATATTTTTTCAGATATATTAGAGATATCTGCGGTTATGGATTCTTTCTCGAAAGTGGAGATTTCGAACTCGGGGAACAACAGCGTCAATACAGGGATTCCGGCATCTTCTTCGGGTGGAACATCATCTTCAGGGGGTACGACTTTAAGCCGATATGAGAACCAGAAACGCAGGGACTGGAACACTTTTGGGCAGTACCTGAAAAACCACAGGCCTCCGCTTTCGCTTACACGGTGCAGCGGTGCTCATGTACTTGAATTCTTTCGGTACTTGGATCAATTTGGCAAGACCAAGGTGCACAGTCCAATCTGCTCTTTTTATGGTAACCCTAACCCTCCTGCACCGTGCCCTTGCCCTCTTCGGCAAGCCTGGGGAAGCCTTGATGCCCTAATCGGACGCCTCCGGGCTGCTTACGAGGAAAATGGAGGGAAAAGCGAGACAAACCCTTTCGGGTCTCGTGCTGTGAGGCTTTATCTTCGAGAAGTTCGTGATTTGCAGTCGAAAGCTAGAGGAATCAGCTACGATAAGAAGAGGAAGCGGCCTCCTTCCCAACAGTTGGCTGCAGCACAAACATCAGCAGAAGCAGCAGCACCGCCAGGTGAAGATTAAAGTGCAAAACCCTCTTCTTTTAAGAACTTACGTTTCTTCCTCTATTGTGAACATTGCTAAAAATACTACTAGTAGCATAGTACTACTAAAAAAGCTTCCAAAATAACCCTCTGATTTGACCGAGAGAGAAAGACTCATTTTCTGATTAGCTCAAGAAATCCCTCCACATATATATCCCAAAGTCCTCAAAATAAATATATCTGTCTCATGGACATGGTAGTCTCCTCAAATCAAATTTCCCTGCCAAAAATCAGTACGAAAATTTCCCAGTTCCGCTG